TTGCGCGTCCCGTCATCCATCGTCCCCTGGGACAGGCTTCGAAGCCGATCGTTGTAAATAACCGTGTTCTCCCTTTTTGTTCGTATTTAGACACACTAAAAACCTGTAGAGAAGCTCGTAAAGTACTCACAAGGCTCAGGCGGTCCGCGTTCTCAGCGGCAAGACGCGGATTCCTGGACGGCCCGGTCGTTCGTCAAAATTTACGCGCTGGAAACGGCGGCGGCGAATGATTTCTGGCCGGTCGGATCGCTCGACGCCGGCGGCCACTAAATCCTAGGCGTTCCGCGCGCGAGGAAATCCGTCCGCGACTCTCTCGGCGAAAAACTCGGTCGGCGCGGGTCCCGAGCGCCGCGGCCGAGCGCTGCTCACCTGCTATTGTTATCCGGGAACGCCAAAAGTTGGCGAATACCCGTGTTGGAACGCGTTTTACCGTCGATGGGGAATGAAAAATCGCCGCCCGACGGCGGACGCGCGGGGCGAGCAGAAAATTCCGGCGGATGTGTTCGCACGAAACATTCTCGCGCGATCCGTGGCGTTTATTGGTGCCGTGCGGCTCGCGTGGGGTCTCCCAAAATATCAATCTCATGCCCGTCTGCAAATAATATACGTATATATCGTGGCTCCGAGTCTCGCCGTTTACGCGAGAGGGGACACTTGGGGTTTTCCTCTAAGCAACGGCGCGGAATCCGATTTTTCTTCGTCGCAAAATCTTTCGTACAGAAGCTGGATATGCCTGGCGATCTATCGGTTATGAATCTTTACGCGTTCGACGAGAGGAGCATTCGCAGCTTTTTCGTTAACTGTTTTCTAGTCGACGATCGAAATTTCCTTGTTCCATCTTTTTCTGAAGTAGTCTGTGGAGCTGTTCATCTATGAAAATAGAACATCGTATGATCAGTGATTTCCAGTATCTAAGGAACGCGAATGTCGATAATACTTCGTGGATACTTCATTGGAACCGTGATGCTTGAATGAAACGATTGAATTATCAGTTTCTTTTATAATAGATTCTCGTCTCGAAACGATCGAAATGATTCAACGAGACGTAACAATTGTCGAATGATCCGTCATATGTATCTGGGATCTCTGCGTTGCAGATTTCTGGAGAAAACTCGATAACTCAATACTTGTTTTACATCGTGGGAATATTAGGAAGTTGTTTTCAACAATTGGCACTTGCGTTTCGATCGAAACGTTCCATAAATAGAGAAACCGAATTGATTCACAAAATCCGTATTTCCAAATGAAAATCACGTCGTATAGCAGCGACTGCTTAGCAACACATCGGTAACCTTCAATTTCCATCATGCGAACAGTCGAATTTCGCGGTTCCGCGCACAGACGGCCGAGCTGTGCGTCGGCCGGACGAAAATCGGTGCTATACCACTGTGCGCGGCCGCGAGATATCCAGCGGCGGCTGTCCCCTCATTTTTGGTCGACCCGCTTTTTCACCGGAGGTTGTATTTTTAATCGGTCGTCGCGCGCCTCTTCCGGACCCCTTCGCCGATATTATGTTACCGCCCGATGCGATCCGCCGATTCGCGTGGGCGATCGCGTTCTCCTGTCACGGGCGATTTTCATTTTCCAGCTATTTATAACGGGGCCGGCGTTCCTGGCGCGTTCTGTCGACGATGGGGAAACGATACAATGCGAAACGCCGATCACGCGGCGCGGCGATTTACGTAGAACCACCGCGTTTCCTCCCGTGTTCCAACGTCGCAGCTTCGTTTCTTCCTTTTTCCAACCTCGAACTCCTTCGCTCGAGTCGTTAATCATTACCGTTGCGTGTAACAGGAATGACAACGGCTGCCAGAACGGAGGCGATAACAGTAAAGAGACCCGCGCGAGTGAATCAATCAACGGGACGAGCAATAATTGTCGGGCGACGAATTTGTTTATTTATCACGGTTTATTTCTGCTTGTTCGGGGAATATTACCGCCGGTGACGGTTCGTCGAATCGACCCCTTGGGGAAGCGGGAATCGGGGAATGTCGCGGCGAAGGCGGGAAACGTGGGAGGACGAAGGTATTGGTGATGTGTGAAACATTCCGACCCAATTACTCCGCTGGATTTCTTCTCTATTTTTCGCGCGGCTCTCGCGCCCACCCTCCTCCGACCAGGAACCACCTGTTTGGCACGCGATCAAGGCGTCGCTCCGACGTTTCAGGAAACCGGTCGATGAATCGTCTTCGATTATTCCCTGTCGCCCACGATCATCTCCTCCCTCCCGATCGGATTCCCTCCGCGCGGATCGAACGGAGAGATCCCGCGACCTCGGGATCGTAAACGATCCGACGTGGAACAATGTTTATGGCTCTATTCTGTGCCGAAACGCAGGCACCAGCCGGTCCGACAATGAGAATTATTCGCGTCGATTAAACGCCGACGGAAATACCGCGAGCCCGACTCCGGCTCTCCGGCGTTTCGGGTCTAATTCCATGATCACGCTCTAACTGGAACACGTAAACCGATCGGCGTACACGATCGAGGGAACAGGGAAAAGATCGCTGTTACCAGATAGCTGGAGTACTCCGCGTCGCCGGCGAGCTGGCGTTCGCGAGGAATGCGAGTCTAATCGGTCGGAGTGCATAGGATTTCCCACGTGAATCTTCGATACGCGTTGTTCGCCGATACGATCGTGACCGATCGATACCGTAAACAACGCGGAAGATTCTTCTCTCGTGTGGTCGTCGCGCGAAGCTCGTCCCTTCGTCGATCGAAGGATCGGCGAATCGCGAAACGGAAAGCTCTCGATCCCCTGGAATCCGCGAGTCGCGGTTCGATTCTGTTTCTCGTCGGCGCGAGAGGAGAGGCGACGTCAGGGTCCAGAAATATCCTCGGTCAGAAGCGGCGAATAAAAAGGAACGAAAGAGAAATGCGGGGGATCGGCCCGAAGGAAAGGAGGACGGATCTACGAGGGATATCTTTGCCGGTGTCCTGTAACCTGTCGCGTCCGAGCCGCTAACGAGAGGCATCGGTAACGCGGCGATATGAACAGAGAAGGTCGAACGGAGGCGCGGGAAGAGGAGCCGGGACGGAGAGCGCGACACGTTCGAAGAGAGAAAGAGGGGTGTCGTAGAAAAGTTGCACCCGGCACACTGCATCGAGAATCTCGTAGGAAGGAGAAGAAACTCGCGGCGGCACGGAAGGAGAGAAGAGGGTGGCGGCGCGACGCGACGCGACGCGACGCGGGGGCAGGCGCGGCGAGGGGCGGCGAGGGGTGGTGCGGAGTGGCGCGGCGCGTTTCTGGAGTCGTCGGGACGCCGAAAATAGCGTCCCGATATGATGACGCCCGGAGCGGTCCGATCCTAGATTTCAGTCGGTTCGCAAGCTCGAAAGCTGCTGGGTTAACACGGCAAACAGACTCCAATCGCAAGCCGAACGCCGCTCCTGTTTCCGTTCCGGACATTTCCAAAAAACCGATCGGTCCACGACACCGTCTCACCCCTGCGTGAATATCCCTGAGCGCCAGAACAGCGTTCAATTCGACTCGATCATCATCGTCCGGACATCCCCCGGTCAGTCCTCTCCTTTCGCCTCCCTCGCGGAGTCTGAGGGTATATAGATCGCGGTCGATCGGGTCCCCCAGTGACACGACAGGAAGACAGGGGAGAGAAACCTCGTCCCGGGCGACGCAGTCTCGAACGTAACGCACGCTCCAGCCGAAGGAAGGATGGCGGACGTAGACAGTGTAGTGTACACGACCACCGAGCGCAAGGTTCGCAAAGTGAAGAAGACGACCAAACGCAGGGAGAGCCACGATCAGAACGCCGAGGTCACGATCACCGAGGTCGACAGCACGCAGAACAACCACCACGCCATCGAAGAGTATGTGCTGGCTGCAGATGTGCCGGGAATCAGCCCCCGTTCGTTGTTTTGCCCCGAGCTTTCCGTTCCGCGATCGCCGCCGACCACGCCGACGCCGACGCCGCGGAATCGCGCCTCGCCCGCCACCCGAACGATCGCGATTCTCCCACGATCGTCGAGCACGATCTTGACACCGTCCCCTCGTGAAACTCTGGTGCGATAGTTCCCTCTCGCCGAGCCGGCGTTGCCGGGGATCGTTCCGGGGGTTCGGCGCGTAGGAGTACATTTCCTCGAAAACCACGCTCGGAATCGATGTTCCCTCTCGCCAACGATGAAAACAAGCTGGACAGCTCGCTGGGAGAGGTCCGCTCGCAAGCGGCGACCTACTTTCTTCGAGAGAGAATCTTCTCGCTGCCCTCGATGGTTTTCCTCCGTTTTGCCCCGGTTTTCGAGCGTAGTAACTCGAAAATCTCGTTCTCGCTTGGGTTCGTTACATAGGAGAGTCTCAGAATACTCCTCGATCGTTCAGTAAGTCGATTCAAGCGGCCAGAGGATCTCGAGTATCCCGATTCCCGGGATTTCGCGGATCCAGAGGGTGGTGGGCTAGTTCCGACAGACGCTCCCCTCTCACAGGAGCCGAGAATTTCGCGATAGAATCTCGCCGGTTTTTTGAAATTCGTCTCGCAACGAATACATAGCCTCACGTCTCACAGAGTAGAATCTATGATAATGCTCCCTTACAAAAAATACTCAGCCAGCACATACAACAGCACTCAATCAAGGTACATATTTACCAGAAAATCCATCGAGAACACTCTACAGCACGTAAGAGAATACAGAGATGAAAATGAAAGAGAGAGATCGCGAGGAGCTTTCCGTGTACCGACGGGAAAGAGTAAAGAGTAGAGAAAGTCCGTGTACGAGAGACGCTGTGAGAGGAGCGTGATCAAAATGTTTCTCGCCGCACGATCGCGTCGATCATCGCGTCGTATGCCGCGTCTTTCTTTTATTTTTATTTTCATAACCAGTTGCTGAGAATCGTCGCTGAAGAGCCGCACCGAATGTGCACGCCCGTCGCATCGTGATAACGATTCGATTTTGTAACTAATCCAATTGGGGAGCGGGTCTATGGGGTTTGCAAATGGAATCCCCTCTCTGAACTGTACGACCTTTCGTTTGCTTCTCTTTTCCAGTTGATTTTCAGTGGCGAGTACACGAAGGCGATGAACAAGGACTGGCACAGCGGCCACTTCTGCTGCTGGCAGTGCGACGAGTCTCTGACCGGGCAGCGCTACGTGCTCAGGGACGAGCATCCCTACTGCATCAAGTGCTACGAGAGCGTTTTCGCGAATGGCTGCGAGGAGTGCAACAAAATCATCGGTATCGACTCCAAGGTACGCGTCGCATCGATATCGCCGCGATAAAGCGTCGATCGGCTCAACCTCGATCGTCCTAACATTTTTCCTCCTCGTAAGATACGCCTTATCGCGTGACAAATTGATTGCCTCATTAATTGACGAGCGAACTCGCTCGTACTCGCCTGCATCATCGTTCGATCCCTCGATTTCCGGTTTATTCGTTCGCGTGGATACTTGAATAATTGGCGTGTGAGAGGGTAAGGTTTAGAACTTGAACCCTGAGTTATTTTTATGATATCGAGGCTGTTCGAACGAGGCGCCAAATCTATATAAAAGTTTATTTCGTTCAGTTATTTCAAGTATCCACAGGTTGCAACGTTAAGATCCGAAGAAATCTTCATCGAAACTCGATGCTCGAAATCGCAGACCGTGTTTTATCGAAGCGTTCCACTGTCGCCGTTGTTTTCCGATAGCGTTTCTGCGTCGCGAGGCACGTGCTCGGAGACGGAGTTTGCCGAGTTCCGCGCAAAAATCGGTAATTATCGGTTCGTGTATAATCACGGGACGAGGCGGCGATACGCGAGCGGCGGCATGGGCGTTGACTTACTCATTCCTAGAAATAGAAGCGATGATGCAGGTGCCGCCGGCCGTATCGGCTTCGAGAGCTTATTTCCGTTTCTCGGCCGTTCGCCGTTCTTCTTCCTCCCACCTCTGGCCGGCGATTCGGCAAAATCGGATCCGAAACATTCCTGCCATCCCGTCGGCGCGTTCTGCCAGCGGAAGTCGTTACCAGAACAAACGCGCGCGCTCCCCACGAGCGAGAAACGCGTCGGCGAGCCGAGAGAACCGCGCTCGACGCTGCGACGCACGAGATCCTTAGAGGTCGACTCCGATCGCGATGATAATCGATCCAGAAATGGCGATCGCGCGATCTCGAAGCGCGATCTAATGAAACTCGACGCGTGTTTGCGCCGCGGCGCGTCACTCGCGGAAGCCGAGTGCATTTCGGACTTCGGATGCACTAATCGACGGCAAACAACGAAGAATCCTCGTGTTTGCGTCGCGTCGAGAGTCGTCCTCCGTTTTCTTAACGACGCGGACCTCGTCGGAGGAAACCTTGCGCGTCTGTCAATATTTTCCTCGCGACGGAGTCCGCGTGAATTCTCAGGCGTTCCTCTAGCGGACGGATCCTTCGCGTGCGCTCGAACTGATGATGGACTCGCCGGTCTGTTTTCAGGATTTGTCGTACAAGGACAAGCACTGGCACGAGGCCTGCTTCCTCTGCAACAGGTGCAGAGTGTCCTTGGTGGACAAACAGTTCGGTAGCAAGGTGGACAAGATCTACTGCGGCAACTGCTACGACGCCCAGTTCGCCAGCCGCTGCGATGGATGCGGAGAGATCTTCCGTGCTGGTACGTAATCCGTCATCTTCCACAGGATTTATCGAACGACCTTCTACGATCCTTGCCGATCGTTGGGTCAAACTTCTTAAATCTTAGCGATCGAATTAGAATTTGAAATGGATGAAAAATAGTGCGATGATCATCGGATCTTTCGTATTTTCGTGGCTCCATTTTTATACTATAAAATTTCAAGTTGAATGCTGAAGGAAAATGAATTTTCCGTATTTTCACGGTTCTATGATTATTATAGTGTAAAATGTCAAGTTGAATGGCAAGGCAACACCGTTAAACCCTCGTACAAGCCTCGGAGCTACCCGATCGGCGACGAATCCCGAACAATGATTCACGATCGCGAGCGGGCGGAGGCCGGCCATAGATCTTGCATTCGGCGCTTCTTATTAAGGCAATCGAGTCAAGGCTGTGGCTCCGAGCCGGTACCAATTATCGCGACTCGTTCCGAAATGGAAACATGGCGAGCACACCTACGACTCTAATCCGAAATGAACAGCTAGTTAAGGAAAAAGGGAGAACGAACGGCCAGGAATCGTACGCGAATCGCGATAAGATACGGATTTACGACTCTGACACCGTTTCGAACACAGCGGCGACTCGTGAAAAACTTTTCGGGGCAGAGGGAATCGTAAAAGTTCATTTTATCGCTTGGAATAAGGTCGAGGAGTACCGTCGAGTTCAACCCTTCGCGTGCGATGATGCTTCGGAATACACAAAACTCGGCAGATAGCTAAATTATACATCAATCGCGTAGACAATAGAAAAAGAAATTAAATCATTTCAGTATTCGAATCATTCGTTCGACTTAGTCTTCCAAATACGAAAATCTCGTCTCGAAGTGTCTTAAAAGCTTTAAATATTCGAAATGATCTTGAAAATAAATAGCTTTCACTTGAATACTATACTTCACTTGATTACTTCTAAAGAAACTGAAAATGATCTATTGTTACAATTTTTCTATGCATTACGTATTAATCGTATTAAATGCTCGGTGTGCTCAATATTATCAGTAAGAATAATCGTTTACTCTGCTCTCTACAAACTAACTATCTTTTAAAATCCATTTCAAATAAGATACCATAGTAATACAGAGTCCATACTACAATGAATGTCTGAAGAAACCGAAAATAATCTATTGTTAGAATTTTATTCTATTCTATTAAATCCTCGGTAGTTCTAGTGTCAAACGATCGCGAGGCAGAGCGAATTAATCAAGGATACCAGTTAATTTCTTCAATCTTCTCGCACTTCCGTTCTTCGATTCCGAGGGAAGACCGATTTCCCATAAGTCCCAGATCGAAACGAAACGTCGCGACACCGCGGCGAAAGAACTTGACCGACTAAACAACGAAAGGTCGAATTTCTCGAAGTAGGAAGTCCTCTCGAGGGCGCCCGCTTCCGCGGAGAGGCAGACGCGCCGCGAGCGGGCCCGCAACTCGGTCAAGTACGCTCGGTGTCGTCGCGGGTTTCATCTAGCGAAATCCCGCGGAGGAACGCGCGTTCAGCTGATAATTCCCAAGGAACGTTCGAAACGAGGATCATCGATTCCGCGGGGCGAAGTTCGTGCCTGTGACGGACTGGTTTCGCTTCACGCGACGCGCGTGGGAGTCCCGTCGAATCTTCGGCTGGATAGAGGCCGGCTGATAGCGACAGGATCGCCGGCGAATCGTCCGTGAAAATGACTCGGTGCCAGCGCGTGTCCGTATACGGATCGAGTACGCGACCTTTCGAACCGCGCGCGTATCGCGGAATCTAACGATGCTCCGCGGCACGTTCGTGTCGATCCTCGATTTCGTTTCCGACCTTTCGCCGAATGTTCCAGAAAAGATACCAGTCCGATTGCGATCGCGGTTTCGCCGATTAACCGATCGGTCGCGCAGGTTTCGCTGGGAATATCCGAAGTTCTCCGATAAGACAGACTTTCTTCGGAATTCGCTAATGGAACAATATCATTTTATTTCATATTTCATATTTTATATTTACTGAAGACGATCGACTTTCAGTTTCTGAGTTTCGTGGCTCTTCGATGTTACAATCCTGACCAACTGATGATTCTAAAAGTTCGAAAAGATTTACCTAAGATTCTCCTGTCTGTTCAGTTCTGTTTCGAGCTGTTGAATCGACAAGCAACGTAGCTTCCGAGAGTTGACATTCTCGACGCAATTACTCGCGTGTCAATTGGAAGCTTTACGTCACAATCCTCTAAGGAACTTGCTTAGTCGGAAGTTTATCTGCGTATGAATGGAAGCGTTACATTTAAATACGATAAATCTAAATTCTGGAGATAATTGTTCTTAGTCACCGATACTCGGTAAATCGATGAGTAACGACTTGCACAGGCCAACCTGTGCAATCGTATCTTCCAAAGTAAATTCACTAAATGTAATTCCGCAAAGTTCGGGCTCGCGAGAGACAGAGGAGAGCGGCGGAGGAAAGGTGAAAGATGTTCTGGCCGAAGACCGGGCCAGGCGCGGTGTAAACGTGACCCACAAATGTATAAATATTCCGCGGACGCGATCCAGGATGGCGTGTAGTGGTTCAGCTGGCCGAGGCTCGAAGGCTGGAAGTTATCAGCGAAGTAGAAGACACGGTGCGCGTGCTCGCGACGTGCACGCCGACTCCAGCCAGCGGGTCTGGGCATCGGGTGCTTCAGTGGCTCTCAAGACTCCGGGCCAATCGCACGATTCGCCGATTTCGCGTTCCGCCTCTGTGTTTTCGTCGTGACCGTAGATCCGCCAGGTGTCTTCTCTCGTCTCGACTCGGTTTCGTCTCTCAACGCGACGCGGCGAGCATCGTCCGACGATTGCACCGATCGCTTCGTTCTCGTCGATCGCGAAGGGAGCGTTAATCGAAGAATGCGAGATTCTCGATTTTCGAATAAGAGAGAAGCTATATAGAGTTGGTCTCTGGAACTACGAGTTTGCCCGCGAGTTAGCTTTCCGTTCGAAACCGAGCCGAGAGTGAAGAGTCCCGAGTTTTCGTAGCTTCCCGCGGTTCAAGTGCGTGATCTATCGCGGAGAATCGAAGGACTTGATCGGTATACGAGAAGAATGGCTACCGATACGCTGAGCGAGAGGCTGTCCAGCAAGCTTCACCTGCAGACGAAGACGGTGGGCGAGGAGAGGATAAAGAGGGCGAAGGAGAAGGACGAGGATGTCGCGATCATCAGCATGTTCCCTATGGATGGTGACCCCAAGTTCCGTTGCTGCCTCGGCAGGGACTGTCTCTTGGGAGACCCGAAAAAAGCGGAGCCAGGTGAACATTTTCGGGAATCGGTTTCTTTGGGGTTCGGAAGGTTTCGTTGAGCTGATGATAAAGATATTCGGGTTGTTAGTTATTAGGGTAATCGTTGTTGGAAGGGAATTCTAGAGTCTTGCGCTGGAAAGACGTGCCACGCACGTCGATATTTTCTTGCAAAATCGCTTACGTCTTGTCACGTCGACAGTCTTGTTACTAGATTCTTCCCAAATGTATCACTCTGCATAAAATTGTTAGTAAAAATTAGCGCAAGACATTGCTAAACCTCTGAATGAATCTCCAGCGCAAGTTAACCGTTTGACTGCCACGAGTCTCTCCAAAAATTCGAGAAGTACCAAGCTTATTCTCTTCGAGCTCTTTCCTTTCAGCTCAGAAACCAAGTGGCTTTCGTATTTTCATATAAAAAGCTTCTAAATAGCGCCATCGTTACGCTTTCTCATTCTTAAGTAGGCGATGACAGAAATCAAGATGTGAACGATTGATTCTACGAACGTCGACGAACAGCGATCGCGTTGTTTGCCAGTCGAACGGTTAAACTATTCGAAACATCGCCGATTAGTCGAAGACACTTTCCGGCGCGCATTCTGGGCCGTTTCCGCAGGACATTGCGAAACCTAGGCTGCTCGCGGGGGCGGCGGATAAGGTCCCGTTCTCAAAGTTTCCCTAAGGTCGACGTCGGCACGCCGATCGTGGGTCGACGCCGCGCAACCGGCTGCCGATAAACTAGTCGATCAAAGCCGGCGAAGCGAAAGAAAGAGAGAGAAAGAGAGAGAGAGAGAGCGTGTTTGAGAAACGGAGAGAGCGAGAAAGAGAAAGGTCCATATAGATAGAAGGAAGGAACCCGAATGGGACCACGACCTTATCTGGAAACACGAGCACGGCCGCGCGCTCGATTGTCCTCGGTGCACCTGGCTAACGAACTGGTTAATTATCCGGTGATTGGAAAATTAGGAGACGATCAGCTGGCTCCATGTCACGGTAGATCGTTCAGGTTACAGAAAAGAGGAATCGAGTTTCAACTCGGAGAACGCTTGTCTTGCTTGTAATTAACCCTTCGCTGACGAAGATTATCGAAAGCAAAACCTGCTAAATGAAACATTCAACGTAAGTCATGGAGAATAATGAAACCGTGTACATTTCTTACTGCCCGAACGGTTGAGTCGTTTCTTCGCCGCTTGGTATTCCAAACATGGAAGTTTGATCTCGGCAAAACGCCGACGTTCGCTCGCGAAGGGTTAAAAACGTCGGTTCGGAGAAGGAAAACTGCGACTAACATCCTGGAATTCTTGTGCGACAGGAGATAACGATCTACGGGGCGCGGAAGACAACCGAACCAACCAGTTTCTATGATAATCCCGCGAGCGGTTTATGATGAACGATTCCGCGCGCTAATAAAGGCGACGCTCGCTCGCTCGCTCGCTTCCGGCTGCTCCCGCGTCGACGCAACAGATGGACGGGGACGAGTTTGTTTTCCCAGAACGATCCGAGCGTCGCGCGGAAGCGGTTTCCCGGCGATTTCGTCGCGACTCGCGATTGAAATCTCTTCGAAACCGACGCCCGGCCGTGTCGAGCGACCGGCTCGCGCTCGATGTTTGTCGCCGACCGTTGCGAAACAGCCTGGAATTCGCTGCGGTACGGTTCAATAATGATGTCACGCGCCGTTCATTCGAACGAACGCGTGCCGCGCGACGGAAAGAATTTCGCCTGAAATTCGCCCGAGAAACTCGCCTCCCGAGACG